GTGCTAATTATCAGAATACGTTATATGTTGAATTGAATAATGCATTTATTTTATCAGATAATTAAGCGCGGCTTATCGAATAAAATATTCTGGTTGTGTTTATGCTATTGTTTTCTTCTTTCGAAAAAACGAGACGTCATTTCCGCTTCGGAGTCTTTGATAAGATTCTGAATGTTTTAGTGCTCTTTATGTTTTATATGTCTTCGGAATCACCCGATTAAAAAAGACATAATTAACCGTGTAATATGATGATTTATCACGTAAAGGAGAATTTTAAAAAAACATCCTTAAGGAAAGTCTAGTAAAGTGTTGTAACATGTTTGTTTGCTTGAAATATTTTCTTTTCATCTGCATCTAAATTCATTATTCTTATATAAATTTATCAAACAGAATCAAAATTTTTAATCGTCCAATTTTATAATAGTAAATAAATTTTAAATAATAGTTATTAATTATTAGATATTAACAACTTTATCGTTGTAATTTGTTATTTATTTATCTAAAATTGTCTTTAAAAAGAAATTCTCTACTTTATTGCATTATCTGGAAATCTCTTTGAAACATCAATCGTAATGGCAAATTTATTAATGTCAAAGAAATCAATAGCCGCGCGTCGGTTGTACGCATTTCCATTATTGTTGTAATATCGCGATATATTATCGAAATCCCAAGTCAGGTTTTAGTTTGATTTTATTTTTAGTTCGTACGCGAGCAGTGATGAGGATTCTGAAAGTTGATGTTAGGGTGGTGCATGTTCGCAGACCTCTCGCCATTGGGTGATAAGAGCGGAAGCCTCGTCGACGAGCTCGGCGGCGGCGGTGGCGGTTCCCTCAGGAACGGCAAGGGCAAGAAGATGAGGAAACCGAGGACGATTTACAGCAGCCTGCAATTGCAGCAGCTCAACAGGCGGTTTCAGAGAACGCAATACCTCGCGCTACCGGAAAGAGCGGAGCTCGCGGCCAGCCTCGGACTCACGCAAACACAGGCAAGTTTTATCGACATTAAGCCCAACAGACTAGAGCGCAAGCTTCCCACGACATAGTCGTGCAACGATAAGTAGCTCTTATCTCGCGCTACTCGTGACAGGTTGACGTAAACAAATTGCGATAAACGTGAGCGCAAAGAACAATACTTTGCGAATATACAGTATTTTGTGTATTTGTAGATTAATCTACTAGATTTTCTAGTCTACTAGACTAACGTTGTTCAGTTTTCATGGAGGTACGACAAAAATTGTGAAGAATTAATGAGTAAATAATTTTTTATTTAATTTTAAATAGAATATTTAAACAGCGTTTTAATTTGACAAGATATATTTATTAAGAAGTTCAAGTATTAATTGTGTTATATAGAGAGAAAGCCGATATAATAAATATATACATGAACAAATTTATTTTTCACAGTCTATATAAAACTTGTTTAAGTTTGTAACTGCTACAATATTATGTTTACAACTTTTCTACCGAATGATAAAATGAGTGAGACATACATATTTCAGCGAGCAGAACAGGTTTTTCACTCCTGATATAAATTATCAGGAAATACCGTCGGGAAAGTCCTTTGAAAATCGTGTAAACGAGTGAATTCCATACGAACGGCAAAACATTGTACAAAAGCCAATGTTTGCATCGTTAATTATAAGGATCTCGCGCCATGATTAGAGTTGTGAATTTTATCAAAACGACTTCTTTTTTTTTGTGATTGATGGATCCAGTTGCGTACTCGATCCGCGGTAACAGGAGCCCCGATATACGGCATCTGTCAGCATTATCGGCACAAATGACTTTACTAAATCACCGATTCGCCACGCCCTGGACATCGCGGATAGGGTTGCCGCCAGTGTCCAGTGTACCGAGGGAAGGAAAGAGAACGAAAGAGACAAGTTTCCGGACTAACGAGGTGGTCATAAATTTTCTCCTGGCGATCGCGCGAGTTTTACGCGAGCTTTCCACAGTAGGCAGGGCTTTATGCGCTTGTTGGCGAAAGACTTTTCGCCAATTATCCGTCGCGTGGTTTCCAATTAACGATTTATTAGGAAGCTCGAGCTACATAATCAGAGTGAAGGAGTTAATTGGCTCCAAACTTGTCCGTTATAGATTTCTCGGGAGATGACGATTTATTGACGAACCGAAATCCGCAACTAATTAGATCGATTTCGCGAGGGATAATTCGAATTTACTCGAATTATCTTGCGTATCATATTGGCAGTTTATTAGACAGTTTATTAAATAGTGGACATCAGCGTAAAGTTAGCTCCTTTCGATGTTATTATCATCTTGCGATTTGATGGGATTACATTCCTTCACACAAAATTATGCGTTTCATTGGCTGATGCGAGACGAGATGGAGCAATTTTCGCGGTTGCTCTTTGTGCATTCCTCACCCCTCGAAGAAGTGTGTACAATCGACGTGCAGCACGTAACTGCGTATCGCGTAATCATGGGATAACTGGCTGTCGTAGCTGGTTGATGTCGTTGCAGGGGGTCCCGGACCGGATAATTTCATTAGACGGAGCACCGCGGGAGTTATTCTCCCCCCCGTGAGCGAGTGAATCGACCGCGACGCAATCTGATGAGCAGTCGGCGTCTGGTTGTTTACTAAACACCGTCGTTCGAAATCAGCAGTAGCCGCGGTCGGGGGTGGTAAATTAAATTACGGAACTTCCGAGATTATTTATTATATTTTCTACATGATTATCTTATATAACGCGCTATCCATTTAGTTGACACAAGCTAATAAAAAACAAAAATTTGATTAATTTCTATATTTTCGTATTAAAACGCCGTAAGAGTGAAATCTTAGATTTTTCTTTTTACGTACGACTACGAAAATCTGCCTCGATGAAGCAATTCAATTTTGCGTTAAGTATTGCTGTGAATTCTCTTTCTAAAAATGGGGAGGATGACTTCTATCTTTTGCCAAACACTCGACATCTTCGTTCCACGTAACGAAGAATGTTTGCCGCGCGCGATCGGTGCAGCTCTTCAGCAGGCACCGTGCATAATCCGTAATCGTCCAATCAAGGCGTTCGACCAAGCGCCTCTGCCTCTGCACTCTTGGCCCTGCTACCGTCGCGCGCTTGGCTTTCTTGTCATCGCCACCAACATGGCGCCTTAGCCTTCAGTCTCTTCCATCTTCTCCTCTTTCCTCGTCCCCTCTCTTCCTTATGCCACGACAGCCTCGTCGTCCCCCCGGCGATCTCCCCTCGCATTTCCCCACCGGCTCTCCCCATTCTCCTCCTTCTCCTCTTCTTTTCCTTTAACCTCAGATGAGCAAGAGAGAAAGAGAGGCAGGGAAAAGGGGGACGGGAAAGGGAGGGCGGGAGGAGCGGTGAGGATCGAGGTGAGGCCACGCATCTCTTTTTCTCCGGGGCCTCAATTTGAGGACGTGGTAGCGTTCGTGCCGCCGGTGTACACGCGGAGATACGCGAAGAGGGTCCGAGGGGGCCAGAGGGGAACAGAAGGACGGGAAAGGAAGGGAGCAGGGAGTACTTGCACACGCGAAGTACATGGGCACACGTTCTCGCTCGCTCGCGCGGATATATACGTAGGGACGTGGGCACCAACACGCCCGTCTGCGTTCCTGCCACGTACCTTGGGCGTGGTGCTTCCTTTTTCTTCCTCCTCACCGCGGCTAACGTGCCCGATCTCTCCTCATTGGCCCCGGGAATGCGAACACGTCGAAGCGAGATTCGAAAGTCGCGGGAGGGAAGCCCAAGTACACGACGTGAATTCGAAATCCTGCCCTGCTCCTGTCCACCATGGGGTACGGCGTTAGCATTCTCGTGCCGAAAGAGAGAGCTTTTTCAATTTCGAGCAGGACAGACGATTCAATTTGGGAAACGAAAACTCATAGACTAAGCACTACATGCGCAAAATAGATTTAAAAAATATATTCGTATCTCACGTTCAGCACTTTAAGCAAATAAATTTGATTTGTTTTGTATAATAAATTTAGAATAAAAATAAAATAAATTTATATTTAATATAAAATTTATATAAAAACTGTTAAACATACATAAATATACAATTCCATATTTAAAGCAAATTTCACAAATTATAAAATTAGATTAAATTATAAATCTTGCTATGTAACTGTCATGAAGATTTACAGGTAGATTATGTAGGAAGTCTTTGAAATACATAATATATATATATATAGCTTTGTAAAGACAAATTTTATTGCGATCAAATTCTCTTTCATTGAATTTTCGAAAGAAAATAAATTACGCATCGGAAAGTTGCCGCGGATCGCGTTCAAGGTCCTCGGGGATTCAACCACCGTCACGTAGTTGGATATCACGCGATACAGCTTCGCGGAAAAGCACCGCACATATCATCGAAAATGCCGCTCATATAGTAGATGAACGCGCGGGTAACTATTATTCATGCATGAATGCGTTCGCGATCACAAATAGTATATGCCATCCACTACCGTTCATCGTTGTTTCGATATTGAAACATTTATATAAGAATTTATGAGAAAAAAACAATTTTTATTAAATTGATGCGACACAAAAAAAGATATATAAAATCGCAAGAGATTGCAGGCTAGATTTTTAAAGGCTAGATTTGTTATTTATATGTCAGATTTACTATCGATTAAAATCTATGTAAATTTATATCTACTTGTATTAATATGTTATAATGTACAATTATATGCGGTTAATATCTTTTGTCCGAGAATGTTTGGAATATTTGTGTTCTCGTAGCACATGATTACAAAATAATTTTGCAGTTCTAAAATATAAACACATATTAATATATATTAATCTATGATGATTTCAAAAACTTATTACTAAAAATTATTTGATGGAATATACTTTTGAATTTCAAGAATGTACCGTAATAGATAAGTAATAGATGATTTGATTCTTTGATTTCCGCAACCCAAAACACTTAAAGTTCTTCTTTGTAAAATTATATTACGATAACCAATTTCCAATACTCTCTATATAAAAGATTGCTAAACATGCCGCAGTGAAAACCACGTGCATACGCGAGATGTATGAAATGACGTTGGGTTCGGAGAACCTTGATCGTATCCGTTCCAGGAGAGCGAAAGAGAGAAGCGGATTAGCCCAGATCACGTTCTTAAGATCCTATCCACTCTCCTGACCAGTCCTCCGTGTATCTTTCTCCCTGCCGACTATAAAATCATTACGCGGTTTTTCTCCCTTTTTCCGGCTACCGCCGTGACGCCGACTTGCGAAACGCTCCGTCGTCCTCGTCTTCGTGGCAGACGTCGATCCACCGATAACCGGGCGTGTGTCTCCGTTCTGTATGTATATCTCCACCTTTCCCTCGTCCACCTTTCCCGCACATTTATCAGCGTCCATTTATCTGCCTATCACTGCGGTCGCCGTGTATACATACAACATACGCACACACCACACACACACACACACACACACACACACACACACACACACACACACACACACACACACACACACACACACACACACACACACACGCTAGCGATCCGCAAGCCTTTCGTTCCGTTATCAGACCAGATGTGTTAGATAGCGGACATAGTTTCTCGCCGGGGAACAATGAATCGGATAATTAATCACGGGTATGGTGTATCGGATCACCGGGGTCACCGCCGGCCTAGCAATAAATCGTTGAGTTTATGAAAGTGTTATTTATTGAATAAATGTGGCGGATACGAGACGCTCGAGCAATTTATTATATAATATGTGAAAGGGGCAAATGTTGGGCTGTATCTCAATACATTTTAGGTTTAGCTTGTCCTCTACTCAATTTTCATATACCAAATCAAATATGGATAAATTAATTGTCAAAACTTATTAATATTCAATTCGATTTGAAAACATAAAATATAATTTTACATTTTGAAATTATCAAATAATGAATTATTATAATTTTTGTTGTACTGTATTGTAGAAAATAAAACTGTAGATTGATTCGTAATAATTAAAATCACGTGATATTTAAATAATTTTAAAATAAACTCTCATAC